CCACGAACCCTGTGCTGACCGCCAGGAATCCTGTCCTCACCGCCAGGAACCCTGTCCTCAGCGCCAGAAACATTGTCCTCACTGCCAGGAACCTTGTCCTCAACGCCTGGAACCTTGTCCTCACCGCCATGAACCTTGTCCTCACCGCCAGGAACCTTGTCCTCACCGCCAGGTACCTTGTCCTCACCGCCAGGTACCTTGTGCTCACCGCCGGAAACCCTGTCTTCACCGCCAGGTTGATTGTCCTCACCTCCAGGAACCTTGTCCTCACTGCCAGGAACCTTGTCCTCACCCCCAGGTACCTTGTCCTCACTGCCAGGAACCTTGTCCTCACTGCCGGGAACCTTGTCCTCACCGCCGGGAACCTTGTCCTCACCGCCAGGTACCTTGTCCTCACCGCCACGAACCCTGTGCTGACCGCCAGGAATCCTGTCCTCACCGCCAGGAACCCTGTCCTCAGCGCCAGGAACATTGTCCTCACTGCCAGGAACATTGTCCTCACCGCCAGGAACCTTGTCCTCACCGCCAGGAAGCTTGCTCTCACCGCCAGGAACCTTGTCCCTACCGTCAGGTACCTTGTCCTCACCGCCGGGAACCTTGTCCTCACCTCCACGAACCCTGTCCTGACCGCCAGGTACCTTGGCCTCACCGCCGGGAACCTTGTCCTCACCGTAACCACCGCGGTTAATTTTACCTTGCCCACTGAAACTAATATAAATGATGACCCATCCTTAGTGCACTTAACGAAAGCAGTAGAAGCTGGATTTAGTCTAGCAGACACTAAAATTAGAAATATTGAAGATAAACTCAATGTTAAAATAAGTGATGTTCTTGACGATCTGAACGAACTAAAGGCCCGGTCTGAGCCTGTCTCCGAGCGATTAGTCAATGCATTGCTTGAAGAGAATACTAAACTTAAGAAAGATAAAGATGTACTATCTGAGAGACTCAATAATTCGTTGCTTGTTATAGCGGATCTTAACACCCGTATTAAGGACATTGAAAACGAGAAATTTGGTTTGATTACAGCTATTAGACTTATTCAATGCGCAGACAAAAGTCATGTTGACTCAGCGGTAACGGCAGCGGAGTAGTTGAAGTCTGATGACACTAACGTATTTAATCAACATGATTTATCTCATAATTTAAGTATGAATGATGTCGAAGAGTCGATTCGGGTAGTTGATAAAAACCCAGATTCTTTTCTGTCAAGTAATAAAATCCCGGAGTCACAAAGTTTGAAGCGCGAATATAAGTCGAAAAGCAAGAGAAAAGGTCTAAACCTTGATAAGAATTTGTCCGAAAATGCAAATTTCACATCTAGATCGGAAGTCTTACAACAAATTCCAGCAAACAATAATTCCACAGCAGAACCAGTCATGCAACAAATACCATCAAATGACAATTCAATGACTGAACCAGTCATGCATCAAATTCCATCAAATGTCAATTCAATAACAGAACCTGTTGTTCAACAAATTCCATCAAATACCAGTGGCACCAATAACTTGCATACTGTGCCAAAAACGCATAACAAACATGCAAGTTATTCTGCGAAAAATGTCACTGTTGTTGCAGGAGATTCAATTGTCCAGAACCTGCAAGGCTGGCGTCTTTCTAACACTGACAACCATGTTGTTGTCAAGAGCTTTTCTGGGGCAAATATAACAGACATGGAAGACTATTTAAAGCCCATCCTTCGTAAGGAGCCGAATAAAGTCATTCTACACGTAGGAACTAACGATTTAAAACATCTATCTGCTAAGATAGTGGCTGAAGGGATTGCAAATCTCGCAACCCAAATCAAAGAAGATTCCCCAGCAACCAGCATTGTGATCTCTAGTATATTACCACGATCAGATAAATCTGAACTATCGGCAAAAGCAACAGAAGCTAACAAGCTTGTTAAAAGCAATATGCTCTAAAAATCAATGGGCATTTATTGATCATAAATCGGTTAATTTGTCTTGTCTAAACACAAGGGGATTGCACCTTAATCGTAAAGGAACTTCTATTGTAGCAAAGAACATTTCTAAGTACATTAATTCCTGTTAGGAAATTGCCGTAAGAGAGTCAGTTAATTCTTTATACGCATCTCGTATTTCTAATACCGAAGACCCAAATGCTAGATTATCAGCCAT